TATGTGGATTGTCCGTCCTTCACCATGTCCTCCCGTAACAGAATGTCCGACTCAACCCGACAACCCCATGACTCCATCATGGGTTCGGTCACGCTGGGATCTGTATCCCTCACCCCCACATCAGCCTCACTGCAGTCTGACACTTACAAGGCTTGGGGTACAAATGAAGTTTACATTTTCTGCCTTCGTTTGTGTGTGTTTCCTTGGGCACTTTTGCCAGTACCCCCCGCAAATGTGGTCAGGCAAATGGTGTTCTTAAAATGTCCGTATTGTGTGTGAGCCCTGTGATGGACTGATACCCCATCCAAGGATGGATAAATGAAGCAATATACACTGCAAAACCAATCACATGTTAGTGTTCTGACCGCACAAACGTGTTTGCCAAACAAACGGTTTAGGTTTACGTTCTGTCCTTTTATCATGCATGGAGAGGAATAGGGAAAGAAAAGAGTTTTTTTTGAAAATGTGGAGAATGTCGCCCTCTAGCGGCCAAAAAGTTTCAGTACAAAACAAAACATGAAATATTTTCATTTTAATCAGCTTCGGCATCTTTTTCTGGTTTTAACATTATTTTCACAGAGAACTACATAAGCAGGGATGACTGTTTCTGTCTGTATATTTTAATGGTCTGGCCTGATACTTTTAACGTGTCGGGATTTACAGCGAAAACACAATGAAGTCCTCTGGATTCTTGACTTATGTGTGAAACGCTTAAAGTCATTATACTGTGAACCACCCAAGAAGCTGCCGCAAACCACAACTCCGCTAGTTAACCAAAACTCCAAAGCCGTAATGCAGCTGGGAAGCTGCATTTCCCCCCAATCTGCGGAAGAATAATGCCGCGCGCCATTACCTCAGCTCAGTAAATAAAGAGCAATTTTCCAAAACGACTGGAATATCGGCCATAGAAAAACAAAGGTTTTGACAGCCATCATTTAGGTAATCGGGACTGGTGTGAAAAAGTTGAATACAGAGGTGGAAATTTCGGGTCCAGAAAGTGCAAATCCAGACCAAGATTTTGTTTCAACCAACCAATTGAGTACTCTGTGACTGTGACTCTTTATGCTCAACTGGTTGGTTGAAAGTAAATTATGGTCTGGATTTTAACTTTCTGGACCTGAAATTGCCACCTCTGGTTGACTATAAGGCCGTCATGGCTGTTAGTTGTGCATGGTATCTTGCCTGTGTTGTCAGGTGTTAATGCTATTAGGAGCCGAACACAGCGGAGGTACCATCCTACAACCGCTAGGGGGCACCGCAGGCTTGGCAGATGGAGCGGAGCTAAGAAATTCTGCTTAGGCAATTATATAATTATAAAAGCGCCAACACAGTGAGGAACAAATAATCTATAAAAGAGCAAAGGTTGAAATACGATACACAAGCGTCTCGTCGCTAGTTCGGGTAGATTTGTGACAGACACGTCAAACGCGGGCATGTTGGAGTACAACCAAGCCAAGAAGCAGAAGCAAAAAAAGACAATGTGGTTGATGACCAATCATTTAGTTATCGTTTACAGTCAGGGGATAATAGCGGTTGCACTTGCCACAGCTATCAAAACCAATCAGTATAAACTCGACAAAGTAAATGTAGCCCATTATTTTAGCCTGTGATGAATATAAATTCAATATGGGTATAACATGTAGTCTGGGGCGTAGCCAGGGCTGGACTGGTGATCTGGGCATTTCCCCTAGGGGCCAATAGGCATGTGGGCAGGCTAAATCTGTCATGGCGATCTCCCCCTCCGCAAATGTACCATAGCGGACCCTAAAGTCCAGGGTCCATTTTTAATCCCAGTCCAGCCCTGGCCATAGTAGCCAGAGTGTCATTAGAGATTTTGGGCCCCATGAAAGCATATCATATTGGGCCCCCAACCCAGAAAAATCATATTATGTTCCAAATTTCTTAGGGCCCCTGTCACTCGGTGGACCTTAGAATCATCTGCCTCCCGACAAAATGTCATTTTGGACCCCTCACTTGGGTTGGAACCTTTAATCTGAAGAAATACACAATTTTACAACCGGTGGGGGGGTGGGTGCTAATCTGCTCAGTAGATTTTGCCAAAGTATCCATGGCCCCCATGTAGTCATTCATGAACCTGGCCTTCAAATTCACGTCGATTATTTTAAATACAAATATAATTAACTTGGTCTCTGTTCTGGCTCAAATTAAAATATCAACCTACGCTAAATGACCAATTATTTTTAATGTATCTGGGATGCACATAAGTAAGAATGTGAGAATGTGTATATATGTGTTATATTTTGGTTATTTGTTTGCAGGCCATAATTACATTTTGTAATGTACCTTGGAAAATCACTGTTAGTGCCAGTGGCTGTTACAGCTTCTCTGCATAGAGTGCAGCTGATTTGCTGTTGGATTAGTGAGACTGCACACTGCACAGAGCCTTCATGCACCCGAATGAACACGTCAAGTCTGGCCGCTTTTGGGTAGACAGGCCCCTTCCCCCAGCTGCACGGCGACGGCAGACTCCGTCACCCTCAGCTGCTGGACTGGCAGGGTGACTCTCGGGCTTCATTAGGAAGGCAGAGCTCATGGATGAAATCCAGGGAGCTATACTGGTGTTTTGCCAGTGAAATATTATCCGATTTGCTCTAAAATGTGTGAATGTTAACAGCCTGTGAGGCTGGGGTGCTCTGCTCAGTATCCATGCAGCCCCCCCCCCTCCCCCATTTATTATTCCTCCAGAAATGCCTGGAATTAACCTCAGTCTGCATGTATCCCCAGAGCAGCCGGAGATAAGGAGTACAGGTGAAGGCTGCAGGAAGCTGAGCACAGACACACACACGGTATCGGATACCAGGGCGACCACAACAAGTCACCCACAGCTCACAGCGCCTGGGATCCTCCTGTCCTGTTGATGACTATCCTGCTTTTTAAATCAAATGGGGTGTGAAATGTTTAAAGTCTCGAGCTTTATCAGTCGCACACACCAACATACACTGTACATGCATGTGGGTGTGGCGGAATGCTTTTTCCACCTGCTTCATGGATTGTGCTCAGAAGAGAAATATGTAACATGGAGAAAAGTAGTATATGAAACATGAAACATGAAACCTTCCAGTGTTAGGGTGGGGCAGCCCAGCAGGGAAATACAGGTGTGGAGAAGGAGACAAGTATATATACAGAGAGAGAGAGACAGAGAGACTGACAGAGTGACAGACAGACAAAGAGATGGATAGACAGACAGAGGGAGAGAAACAGACAGACTGACAGAGAGTCAGAGAGACAAAGAGAAAGACAGACAGACAGACTGACAGAGAGAGAGTATGTCCATAAAACATCATGGGGATTGACAGAGTGAGGGAGAGAGACAGATAGACAGATAGACAGACTGACAGACAGACAGATATCCAGGTCAGAGAGAGAGTATGTCCATAAAACATCATGGGGATTGACAGAGTGAGAGAGAGAGACAGATAGACAGACTGACAGACAGACAGATGTCCAGGTCAGAGAGAGAGTATGTCCATAAAACATCATGGGGATTGACAGAGTGAGGGTAGTCATGCAGGACAAGGGAAAACCAGCGTGGAGCTTCAGACCAGAGGGAGGGAGGCTGGCCAGTGATGGGAGAAAGGAGGGGGTGTTTGAAGAGATGGAGTGATAAAGAGAAAAAGCAGGTATGTGAGCGGGGAGGAGGTTCCCTGGCAGAGAAAGGTCCTTCTGAGGTCCACAAGAGAACAATAAAGCCCCAGCCTCTGAGATCCAGCCATTAATGCAGATCACCTGTGCATGGCCCCGTCCCCCGAGCAGGACCCACGTGCTGCAGAGGCTCCGTCTGCTAATGTCACAGCGGAGGGAGATGCAACAATCACTTTATGTATTTCTTGCCTCCAATCCAGAGGCCTGAAATCAGACCCCCACCCCCCGCCACCACCACCACCCCATACTCATTGCCTGCAAATGATGTCAATCATAGACCGCGGAATGCAGTTTTCCCAAACACATGCATGTGACGCAAATATAATTTTAGTCGTTCCCAAAATTGCACAAATATACATGCATCATAGCCATAATTATTGTGCAATTCAAGAAATGATGGTGTTTTGTATTTTGAGCACTTAGTAACAAGGCGTTGGTGCCAACTTTCATTTTACCTCTTCAGATGACCCCTGCCCCCACCATGTCACTGTGTCCCCATGCCCCTCCCCTTAAAATAATGTGGCCCCGCCCCTAATCGAATTGGCAATGATTGCCTTAATCATAGTCCTCCTTTGGCGAGACATTGTCTTCCTGCACTGAGTGGACACTGGTCAGCTTGCAGCAGCACAGTTTTGCCCGGACCTCTATATAGCCAGTCGGTCTTTCATGATGTGTGGATGTAGCAGGAATGATCTTTAGCAAGGAGAGCTGCTGCAATCAACATTAATCTGTAATAAGATTAAGATTAATCCCAGTAAACTCCTACTTGAAGTCACACTGGAAGTATTTGCTTTACTGGTGGCTAAGGCAGGCAGTTATGGTTAAATACATACTTCTAGAAGGAAATGGAGGCTTGTTGTTACCTGAACATGCAGACTTAGGGGTGAGAATGGTCAGATTTAGCTCAGGGGATGTTTGCATTCCTAGTAAAGGGGATTTCAGCAGCAAGAAAACTCACTCCAGCAAACAAATCCATGAGGTTGCCCTGAATCATACTCCTAACTCATATACTGTAAAACCCATGAAACAGATCATTTCCCCGACGAGGTGTGTGTGGTGAGGGATTCAAGGGTCTCCTTCAGTATCCTCCTCCACACCACCCCCCACAACACCCCACCAAAAAAAAAAAGAAAAGAAAACACACAGACTGCACCTCAGAACGGAGGAATCCGTCCTGTCAAAGGCAGGAAGCCACGGCCGCACAGATAAGACAAAAGGACATATCCGAAGTCCCCCTGTCTGTTGAAACAAGTCTGAGTGTGAGTATGCGCCTCTGAAGGGTCCCTTTTGGCAAAATACACAAGAAGAGAGTGAGTTGATTACACACGAATGATTTATTTTTGTCGAACACAAATGTCAGGCAGTAATACGTGGGCTTTGCTGCAAGTCCTGCTCCTGACAGATAGTTCATTCGGTCGGTGTTAATCGGGTCTCCGGTCCTTTTCCAGCGAACCGGACGATCAGTCGGACGATTTTACGGTTTGCTCTGGCTGCCCGGCTTTTGGCACCAGGTAAGATCATGCAGAGCTGATGCACTTTTTCCTTCTCCGTTTTCCTTTACCGGACGCCTGGTAAGCGGAGCGTTAAAGTGCCCTTTAGATCGCACCATTTGTTCGTCCCGCGTTGCTCCGCTTTCCGTCTCTGCGCAGGGAGCCGCGGGCGGCCGATCGGCGGCTTCCTCTCGGTTCCCTGTCTCACTTTCTCTTCCTCCCTTCCTTTCTACCCCCCCGCACGGTGTTTCTAATTACAATGGCACTCCTGGTATCTGGCAGCGCCACCGCCACGCCAGACATATGGAGTCAATCAGCCCCGGCGGTGCTGATGTTTTCTTTGGGACCGCTGACAGGCTGACAGGGTGTCGCACCATCGCGGGGAAGTCAGGCATGAAAAAGGGGGAGCGAGGGAGAAGAGGAGAGCAGGACAGGGTGAAAAAAGACCACTTCACTGCTGTGACTGCCCCTTTTCTCTCTCACCCGCACTCACTCTCCTCTCTCTCTCTCTCTCTCTCTCTCTCTCCCCAGAACTTTTTTCCCCTTTTTAAAATGATTTTGAAACAGAGGGAAAAGCATTTTCAGTCTGGCTAGGATGCTGGAACGTCAGAGCCTGAGGAGGATACGAAGAGGGTCTTTCCTTTAAGCGGCGGGTCTGGCTGGCTGCACTGTGGACCCCATCCCAGCACCGAGCACACAGGCAGCGGCTCCAGAGCTCGCCGGTGGGGAGAGGAAAGAGGAACGTCACCCCCCCACCCCTGTCATTTCTGCTCCATCACCACGGTGGGACGCCTGGGGACGATGTGGTGGCCCCTGCTGGTCCTGTGCGGCTGCCTGCAGCTGGCCGGGGGCTTGCAGGGCCCGCGGCGTTCGGACCTGGCCGAGGGCGTGGAGGGGAAGGTGGCCCGCCTGGGCCAGGCCTTCAAGCGGCAGGTCCGGCTGCTGCGTGAGCGCAGTGCCCTGCTGGACTTGGTCTTCCTGGTGGACGAGTCGTCCAGCGTGGGCAACGCCAACTTCCTCAGCGAGCTGCGCTTCGTCCGCAAGCTGCTCTCCGACTTCCCCGTGGCCCCGGGGGCCACCCGCGTGGCGCTGGTCACCTTCTCGTCCCGGTCCCACGTGGTGAGGCGCGTCGACCACATCTCCACGCCGCGGGCGCGCAACCACAAGTGCTCGCTCTTCAACCAGGAGATGCCAGCCATCAGCTACCGTGGCGGGGGCACCTACACCAAGGGCGCCTTCCAGCAGGCAGCGGTGAGGCCCCCCCTCCCTCCGGTACCCTCTGCATGTTCACAGAGCCGATCGCACGCCGCCTGCACCGTATCCCCCAAGTCAGGGCGCTCCTGACCTGCTCCTTTAAGGTCACCTTAATAATTAGCCGTAAAATAATTAGCTGCTTCTTTTCTTATATCTTATTCATTTATACTAATTACATAAAGATTGTTTATTTGGCTGCAAAATCTTATAACAATATAAAGCTCAATGTTATTTTGCATCTTTGTATGCCTGACGAAACATAGTTTAGCTAAAATACGTAATATATATAGGTATATAGGTATATAGGTGAGCAGTTGGATGTGGATATGGCCCCCCGCACCCCCCACCCCCCACCCCCCTCCCCCACTGCGGCTGTATGCGCTCGGGGTCCAGACTGGCTACTTGGTTCTGGTGCCATTATCCAGTCGGGGAAGGCTCACTGGACCTGCACCAAGGAAGAGTGTTGGTGTGAAAAAGAAGGTATAGACGTGTGAGCTGGTTAGGGAATGGATCTCGGCGTGCTGGGAGAAGAGAGCAGGCTCCCGCCATTGGTGTGAACTCACCATAATTTCCGGAAGGTTCCATAAGGGCTCCTCCTCCCCCAGGGCTGCTCTATGTTATCTGATGGCTGCAGATTATGAGGCTTTAATGACAGTGTTGAGCAGCATGAGTTACAGACCGGGGTCTTTATCTAAGGATTTGTGGGGAGGGGGTCAGATGTGGCATGGGTGGGGGGTGTGCCGTCTGCAGGTCTTTTTGGTGGGGGGGGGGCACCGGTGAGTCTGTCGTCGTCAGTCAAGCCCGGCCCAGCTGTCGCTCTGCCTGTGGGGTATTAACTCCCTAGATAAACATTCAGGGTGCTCCTGCGGTGTGGTGCCAGCCCCTGGGGGGGCCGTGATTAATCAGTCTGTCTGCAGCACCATCCTCTCCCCCACTGGGACGGTGTCTGCGTCTGATCAGCGTTCTGGTGCACGGTGAGGCCGTGGTCTTTGTCACTAATGAGGGTCTTTGTCCCTGGGGTGGGTCTTTGTGGCTGGGGGCAGTCTTTGTCTGAAGCGCAGACTGACGTATCCTAGGCGCTGTTTTTCATAAATCCGCCGCGTGTTTAAAGAGTGTCAGTATTTCGCCGCTACGCTGCCTTCTGTTTACTGTCACTGCTGTCTGGATTTAGCTCCTTCGTGACAGGGTGGGCTCTTTTAAATACAGCTCAGGCTCTGGGTCTCTACGGTAACACTCCTTACGGTGACCACATCTAATGGTGCAGGGACCCTCAGTCCATCTTTAACGAAGCCGAGGATCACTGCAAGTGGATTTACAACTGGATTATCTATCCTCCTGAAGTTAGATTGAGAATGCCTGAATTTCACAAACAGCCTTAATGTGATTCATGCTTAAATTTAAGGCATTATTTCACTCATTCTGTGCCTTTTTAACTCATTTGACAAACTGTAATGCTGTATGACATCATCGCTATGTTGAAATAACAGGCTACATGCTCTAAGTGCTCGTTTATGTTCTTAATAACTCTTATTGGACTGTTTTTACCCCTTTGACAAGCAGTAATCTGAGATCATTGCGATGGTGAAGCATCAGTCTCCACGTGCTGGGCACACGTTTCTGTTCTTAATAAGCGATACTTGACGCGTTTGGCCGTTGTTTTCTTAAACGGCGTGTGGAAATCTGGGCCCCATTAGTGATATTTTTGTCCTCACGAGAACCTCCGAGTTCCTTCCTCCGCAGCTGGGCTCCCTCCGCACGGCCCCGAGGCTGACCGGGGAGAGGGCAGGGCACGTGTGTGGAGCGTGGAAGCTGCCTGGTCCACAGTCTCTGGGGCCGCTGTCACCGGGGTGGCCCGCTGGTGACGTCCCCCGTGACATTCCTGTACCCTGCCTCCCTCGTCTCGGTGTGTGGATTAAGGCACAGGGCATAGTCACTCTTCACAGGGCATAGTCACTCTTCACCCTAGAGATTTACGGCCCTTAGCAGGTTGGCTGGTGTCCTGCTCAGGCCACCCTCTGCTGCCCCTCAGGCAGCTTTGACCTCTGACCCCATGACCTTGGTTCAGGCCACACACGGGGGTCTGATGTGTGGCCCCATGCTTTAAAGCTGCTGCTGTTGGGAATGTGAGTGTTTTCTGACCCGGTGGAGATCTTCTGGAAAGCTGGCATCCCCCTACACTCCCTGCAGGTGGAGCTGGGACAGGCGGCTCCAGCCGGCCCTTACTCTGAAATGACTTGAGCAGGTGCAACTTTAAACCCCATACCCTGTAAGTGAGAGACCCCCCTCCCCCCTCCATTTTGGCACGATCCACTTCCTGTTTACCACCAGCACTTCCTGACCTATGAAGAACAGCTGTTTGATTTCACGCAGCCCAGCTAAAACAATGACCTCAAAATGGGCTTCTCTGGCAGGGCAGGGGTTATTCTGGGGTGGCGTGGGGGGGGCTCTAGAGGAATGCACCACTCCACCACCCACACCGTCCAGTTCACAGTGCAGATTCCAGATGATTCACCTCTGAATGCCATTGACCTTCAAATGAGTTATGGATGCCCAAGGAAATTGTCCCCGGTGCCATTTTTCTCACCTATTCACAAATATTTCCATTCTTATTGCTGTTTGGACCTGAAACCTTCCTCGTCTTAGGAAAGCATTTGTGGTTGTTTCACCAGAAACCCAAGTCTGTTCTTCATCAAGCGGGCTTTTTTCTCAAGAGGGCATGTTTTTGCCGAAAATGTAGATAAGTCACGAAAATGTGTGCTTGCTGGACAAAGAGCTTGGCATCTGTTCAGTTTAATGAGCATAGCTGACAGGACGACAGGACGCAGGTATTGGGGGTGGGGGGGTGGGACATGTGCGACAACATTACAGGCCTTATCTATGGCGTGCAGTACCACGCTGCAGTGTGCAGACCCTGGATACCTCCCCTGGACCGAAATCTGCCCACAGAATGTCAGAACAAATGGAAACAGAGAACATTATAAAAACAGGTCTGTAAGACAGTGTTTCCCAATCTGGTCCACAGGAACCCACAGTCGGTCCGTGTTTTTGTTCCCCCCGAGCTCCCCATCAGACAGTCCACATTTTGGGAGCTGGGAGGGAGCAAAAATTTGGACTGTCTGTATGTCCCCGAGGACCGGATTGGGAAACACTGCTCTAGGAAGTCACAGTGCAAGAATGCTTAGACACATATCGTATTAGGTTTAATGTCCATTCATCTTCCAACCACTTATTCAATACAAAACCACGCTGGGCTTGGAGCCTATATCAGCGAGCAAAAGGCAGGGGATGCCCTGGATGGGACGTCAACCCCTCCCTCCTGTTGAAACTAGTATGTCGAATTTGTCGTGGCCCATATATTTGATGATACGATATTACGTATTGCGTTTGTGCGTTTGTGCGTTTGACGTGTCGGTATAGAAATCGTAATCTGAAGAAGCCAAGTGGCTTCTTGCAGTCCGCGGGGAGGGCGCTGTAACAGTCTGCTTTGGGGATGAAGCCAGCTCTCACTGCCCCCCAGGCAGATCTCTGTGTAATGCGCCGACTGATGACGGTGATTTATGAATGAGATGATGGAATCTCACAGAGGCGTCCAAATGTAATAAAGGAAAGTCTCAGTACTTGGATGGATCACACACATTCATCCGGATGGATTTCTGTGGGCGCCGCATTCACGCTCCTACCTTTGGGCCCTGCTGGAACTTTCCGGTGGCGCCATTTTGGTATTTGGGCTGAGGTTCAGAAAGTAACGTGTGAAGTCAGANCCTCATTCACGCTCCTACCTTTGGGCCCTGCTGGAACTTTCCGGTGGCGCCATTTTGGTATTTGGGCTGAGGTTCAGAAAGTAACGTGTGAAGTCAGACCTCGGCCTGGTTCCGCCTCGGCCTGCTGTGTTTTCCAGATTAAATATAGATGGGATATCCTGCAGTCAAACCGCAGACATGAAAGGTCATTTCGTTAGGGTCCCTGCGCCGTCAGAAGTCACAGACTGGGTACAGCTGTGCTCAAATCTGTCTGCATTCAAGGTCAAGGGATTCAGGGAATCTGCTTATGAAACCCAAACCTTCTGTGGGTTCCCTGCTTGCGGTCTTCTGGTTTTCACAATGTCTTCCGCATAGCCGGCGGTTGCAGCACTGGTGACCTCTTACCAAAACATTTTTGCATTTGCGTTTTATTTACTTAATAAATGGATGCTTTTATTCAAAGAAAAATCCATATTTTTCGAAAAAGCAGGGTCAGACAGTCCCTGAAGTAACCGGGGTGAGGATCCTTGCTTAAGAACCCAATGGTGTAATACTCTGACGACTGTGGGTTTTGAACCGGCAACCTTCCGGTGAGGGAACATAAATAACAGGGCTGGGCTTTCAAAGGCGGGTCAGTCCGGTACCGGGTTTGGAACTCACAAAGGCCATGGGACGAGATCCTGGAAAATGTCATTTGCTGCTGCCGCTGTGGCCATTTTCCGGAGCTGGGCGGGTTTGCGGCCTGATGTCCAGAGCCACAGAGCACTGCAGGGAGACACTTTCTTGCACAAGAATATATGATTGGAGAAAACGGAAATGGGGCCTCCTTGTCAGGGCCCGCAAATACGCTTCTGGCTGCCTTTTGCTTTCTAGCTCCCTCGAGGTGATTTTTTTCATAAATAAAATGCGCACTTCTGATATGTGATGTTTAAAGTTAGTCTTATAGAGCCCCTGAGAAAACCACTCATTCAAACACACAAAAAATGTGTGTTTAAAGGAATCTCTGTTCGGAAATGTCAGAAACGTGTTAGGCAGGTTCTGTAAGTTACCCTAGCTGCAGTTCCCACTTCGAGCTGATATTACGCTGCACGTCTCATTTCCGGAACAGAAAGAAGCAGAATACATTTAAGTGTACACTGGGGGTTTCCCGGACCAAGCATGGTGCCTTCCTATAAACCACAAATGCACACGGACACAAACAGTAGGTGGAGCAACAGTTAAAAGCTGGATTGCTAGTTTGTGTGTCAGAGTGGGCCA